TCTCTGCCGGCTGCCACCGCGGGCCTACCTACCTCTGCTTGTCACTGCTGCCGGGCCCATCCACCTCTGCGGGCTGCCACCGGGCCTGTATGTCTCCTCAGGCTGCCACCGGGCCTGTATGTCTCTGCCGGTTGCCGCTGGGCCTGTATGTCCCTGTCTGCTGCTGCCACTGGGCCCGTCTACATCCACAGGTTGCTGACCTGCGTCCGCCTGTCTCTGCCGCATGGCCCGTCCACCTCTGTGGGCTGTCGCCGGGCCTGAATGTCTCTGTCGGCCGCCACCTCCGGGCCTGTCCACCTCTGTGGGCAACCGCTGGGCCTGAATGTCTCCGCCAGCTGCCGCCGGGCCTGAATGTCCCCTTCGGCTGCCGCTGGGCCCATCCACCTACACGGGCCGCCACCACAGGCCTATCTGTGTCTGCTTGTCTCCGCCATCTTCGTGAAATGATATTTTCAAATGCAGCCTGTTACACATGCTAACTTCAGCACAAGGCATCTACACAGCACACTGCCTTCCTCTAACTACTCCATGCATATGTGTGCTTTCAACCAGGGACTGTCACTGTTTGCTCAACAGGCTCACACCTGTGTCTCTTATGATTAACAGGAAATGAACCACCTTTAGCTTCTTCTGCAGAGGGTAAGCACTGTTTTCAAACTAAGCTAAGTCCACCTGAAGCCCATTTAGAGACGCAGACTAGTGAGCTCTCAATGTTAAATATAGACTTGGCACAGATGAGACCTACTAGCACGTAGTTAAGGAAAGCAAGCAAACAACTGGGGGAAGCAGGAAGGGCTCCAGCTTTGTGGTCCCTCTGTGATGTCATTTATTTCCTGGGTTACTATAGATGGAAATCTACAAATATTTCCCCTAGATTTGCAAGGTTTATGGAGGGAGCCTGCAGGAGAAGATGATAGAAAATATAAAATGCGCTGGTAATTGCCTTCCTTTTCCCAGGCTAAGAATTTTACTTGGCTTTGCCCTTCCTCATTTACTAGTGGGGATCTTTGTTAAATTGTGGAGACAAAAGAGCAAGAGATACCACAGAAAGATCAGGACAAACCCTGCACCAAAACAAAAACAAAAACAAAAACAAAACAAAAGGAGGAGGATAAACAGTTAAGCTCTGTGTTTAGGACATGGCTGTCACGTT